CCGGGAGGCTGGGGCGCGGGCGCTGGGGAAGCCCGCGGACCGCCCCGCCGGGGCTCTGCCGTCCTGTGGGCTGCCTTGCTCTTGGACTGGTGGAATCCCATGGGGCGGGGGAGGGAGGGATGGATTTGGAATACTTGTAAGGTGGGTACCGGACAAAGTGCTTGGTTGTCTGTCTACATCGTTTTCCGATTCGGGACACAAATGATCGCCTTACACTTAGACATTTGTTGCTATTCGGTCGGAAAGCATTGACTTTCCAAAAGTTTAAAAGCAGGCTTTCATCTGTTTACACAAGCAGTGCTTTGTTACTTTGCATCTTTCCCTTCCCTCGTCTCCTCTCCTTCCCTTTCCCTTTCTTGTAAAAGATGAGGATGTGTCTTTCTCTTAGCCACAGGACAAAACAACCTGGCCTGTGGATTATTAGCACCCCGCCGGGAAGTTTTCTTAAAGCACTGGAAATGTAATTGTGCTTATCTATCAGTCAGCCCATCTAAATGTTGCAAACTGAGATTGCGACCTCCTAGAAGAGAGGGTGCACACGGCTTATATAAGACGGGGGAGGTCATTTCTAGTAGTCACGTTATGTACAGTTAAAACTATGCTTTTGGGCCGGTGATGCAGCGCGGTGGCACAGCGCCTGCCTGGCAAGCGCAAGGTTCCTGAGTTCGATTCCCGGTGCCAACACACACACACACAACCCCCAAACTATGCTTTTGAGTCTGCCGTTGCGTATTTTAATAATTTTCAGTGTAGAGCTTTTGGTTTATCACTAATCCTAGGCTCTGAAAGTTTGTGTAGATTATTTCAGTGTTTGGTTAAAAAGCATTTAAAGATTTTTCATGCTGGATTTTGGTTTGTAGATGTATTTGATACTGAAATAACAAAATGTTTTATTGAACATTGTCGACGTTCTTGTATATGCACATAAGATTATAAAACTGGTTAGTATGACTGTGATACATTTAGGTTCTTCTGCACACCCATAGACATTATGTAAGAAGCTATTCTGAGTTGTTGGTCCTTGTTACCTGTAGAACTGTTTCATCGATTTTGGACTTTTTTCTACTTTCCAAATACTGCTCGAGATGGTGTGATTTATCTCAGGCACATTGTTGAAGCCGGTGGCTGTGTTGTTAGTTTTATTTTTTTAAGGTTTTGCTGACTAGTTTAATCTGCATTTACTATAGGAATTATTTATTACACATCTGTCATGGGCCAAGGACAAGGCTATACTCTTTATGTCTCAAGCGCTTGGCGAAGGAGACTAGC